GTAGTAGAAGGGAGGGGGTGTGGACCCTCCAAGACAAGCCATTTCAGACCTCTCCCCCGTGGGGGAACCCTCCAAAACATCGCCCCCAGACCCCCCAGAGGCCCTCCAAGATAGCCTGGAAGAGACCCCCCCCGAAATGAGACCCCCCTCCCTTTATTGCGGGCAATGTCTTCATGCACATCCAGTGCGTCCTGGAGTTCCGGACACTCTTCCCAAGAAACATGAGGCGCACTGGATATGGAATATAATCTGCCTCCAAAATGCTCAATTTTTATCCATATCCAGTGCGCCTCGGCCTTGCGGCGCCCCTTCCAAGAAAGTCCAAGACGCACTGGATATGGATATAAATATTGCCCGCATTCATTACGACATCTGGAGGAACCCTGGACGCACGCAGCCAGTGGAGGAGGCCGCCCGGGCCCGGCAGACGGCACCCGCGCGCGCCCGGAGCAGCTCGGGGCGCGGCGGGCGGAGCGTCAGAAGTGCACACCCACCGGGCGAGGGCCAGAAGAGCCTGCGCTCGCCCTTCTCGATCGGAGGCCGAGGCCGCCGCCACGGCCCCGGCGGCCAACCCTGCAGGTCGACGGCGCCCACCTCCTCCAACTCCTCCTCCTCCCTCCTCCTCCTCCCTCCTCCTCCCTCCTCCTCCGTCCTCCTCCTCCTCCTCCTCCTCCTCCTCCTTCTCCTCCTCCTCCTCCTCCTCCTCCTCCTCCTCCTCCTCCTCCTCCTCCTCCTCCTCCTCCTCCTCCTCCTCTTCCTCCTCCTCAGCTCGGCGCAGCCATCTCCTCGGCGAAGGATGAGATCGGGGCGGAGGCGGAGGAGCAGCCAGAGTAGCCAGGCGGAGGCGGAGGCCCGGGCGGAGGCGGCTGCAGAGGCGGCTGCAGAGGCCGCCTCACGGCGAAGGGCGCCCGCGCCAGGCGAGGCGCGTCCTGGGCGCGCGAGGCCCATGCTTCCGAGGAGAGCATCCGCCTCCCTGCCCAGTCAAAGGAGGACGTCATCAGAGCCGCGCTCAGCGCAGCGAACGTCCCGGCTGCCGAGTGCGATGAGAACGTTGACACTCTGGTCCGTGTGTGTTTGTGTGCTGGCCTGTCCGACGGACTCTCTCTCAGCATCACGAAGGAGTCGTTGGGCAAGTCGAGCGGGTAGCCACGACAGCCACGGCTGGAAGCACACAGGTAGGTACCAGGAGATGATCACAGCGAGTGCCAACACAGTTCACTCCCTCGAGAAGGTCCCACGACAGGTGAGGTGTCTGCACCCTGCAGCGGCTGTCCTCGGTCAGGAGCTGCAGGCCCCAAAAGGAGAAGCTGCTGGACGCCAAAAGCGGATCGGAAGCGACGGCTGAAGGCTGGCTGCGGTCCCCAGCGCGCCGACAGCTAAAGGTCTCAGCGGCGGCGGCGCTATCGCGGCGCCCAAGGTCGAGGAGAAGGAGGAGGAGGAGGAGGAGGAGGAGGAGGAGGGGGAGGAGGAGGAGGAGGAGGAGGAGGAGGAGGAGGAGGTCATGGCCTTCGACTGCGTCGGGGGCCACTGCTGCGGCAAGAGCTGGGGCGCGTCGCCCAAGCACTCGGCCGGTCGCCTCGCGGTGGCTTGGGCCAGCACGGCGCGGAAGATGACTACCTACCAGACCACCCCAACCCAACCCGAAGACCCGAATTTGACCCGACTTTCGGGTTGGGCGGGGTACGGATTCCATGTGTTTTTCCAACGTTCCCCGACCCCCCCCCACCGGAAATGGAGAGCAAATCGAGGGCTTCGGGTTGGGTTGGGGTGGTTTGGTGGGTGGTGAGCGTCGCTATCGCGGCGCCCAAGGTCATGGCCCTCGACGGCGTCGGGGGCCACTGCTTCGGCAAGAGCCGGGACGCGGCGCCCAAGCAGTCGGCCGGTCGCCTCGCGGTGGCTTGGGCCAGCACGGCGCGGAAGGGCGGCATCATCGTCGGCAGCACGAATACCTGTGCTGCTGCAAGGTCATGACGGCCCGCAACTGCGCCATCTTCGGCAAGTCTGGCGCCTTGACCAGGACGGCCGAGCTCCCCTGCACACTGGGCGGCGACTTCAACGTCAGCCCACGGGAGTTCCTCGATTCCAGCCTCCTCGACAAGCTAGAGGGGGTCGTCATCTTCGACCCGGAGCACGGGACTTGCAGGGTCCCTGGCCAGGAGGACTCCTTCCGCGACTTCTTCGTGGTTTTCGAAGTCCCTCCTCGACAGCAATATGAAGGTAGCCGTCTCGCAGGAGATCGTCTGCTCACCGCATCGGGCAGTGGTCCTGCGGCTCGGGCGCCCGGCGCGGCCGCCTATGGTGCTGCAGCTGGACAAGCCCCAGCGATGGCCGCTCGAGCTGCCCATCTGCTGTCCAGGGCCGCCTAGCAGCTGGCCTCAACCGTTGGCACGACGAGGCGAGCACACGCAGGATGAGGTCGGCACCCACTGGCGCGATGTCTCGGCTGCTTTCGAGCACGACCTCGAGTGAGCGTTTCTTATTCGGGCTTCGACATTGGGCTTAAGTGGGGATTTTCGATGAAATATTAAAAATAACCCCCCAACTAATAATCAAAAAATAGTCCAAAAATAGTCTGGGGATTATTTTTTAAGTATGTTTTGACCTTTTTGGGGTATTTGTCGGGTATGTTTGATTTTTCGTCGAAAACCCCCTGTAGGGGGACAGGCCCGACATAACATTGGGCGGAAGGAGAGGCGAAAGGGGGGGTGCGTTCTGGCTCCCGCCCTCTGCGTGGTGCGACGGCTTGCAGCACTGCGTCCGCTGGGGGAGATCCCACCTGCTCGAAGCAGGCGCCAAAGACAGCCAAGATCTGCTCCGTGGAGGGGGGAGGGGAGAAGGGTGCGAGGGCCCGTGCCGATCGGCAAAACTGACTACCTACCAGACCACCCCAACCCAACCCGAAGACCCGAACTTGACCCGAATTTCGGGTTGGGGGGGGTACGGGTTCCATGTGTTTTTCCAACGTTCCCCGACCCCCCCCACTGGAAATGGAGGGCAACTTCGGGTTTGGTTGGGGTGGCTTGGTAGGTGGTGAAAGCAACGAACAAGAAACGATCACCTACAGGTGCCGCTGCTTCGAGGGGGAGGACCCCGACTCCCGCACGGGCCACTCTCGCGAACCCGCGTGCAAGTGGCGGAAGCTGCCTGCGCCGGCGCTCCCTGTGGACTCCCAGACGCAGCGGCAGGCTCGAGGCATGACGTGGCTCCCGCAGCACCTGCGCAGCCTTGCTACGCTGGCCATGCACATCGGCGAAAAGGGCCCAGCCAAGGCCCTCCAGCCGCGGTACAACAGCGTCACCATGAAGCCTTACCACCCACGCCGTGGTGCTGCCCATCCTGGAGGCCGCCGGACCAGAGCCAATACGGCAACATCAGCGGCGAAGGCCATTCTGCTCGTCAGCAAAAATGGTCGGCCAAAAGATCGTCCGTTGCGGAGGATGAGGCCATTTGGGGCTGGACCCTGCGTTTGTGGGCCGAAAAGCACATCAGCCGCCAGTGGCTCCAGGTGGCCTCCCTGGCGGTCTCGGCAGCGATCTTGGCGGGATCAGTGGCGTCGCCGGCGCCCCTGGAGACGCCGAGGAGGACACCGACTGGGGCAGCGTCATCGTCGCCCTCAGCGACATCATGGCCATGGAGGTCTCCAGCGAGGCCCTCGCCTTCGTCAACCGCTTCGCCGGGCTTGCGGAGGACCTGGCCCGGGTACTGCGGCGGCGGCTGCTCGCCGCTACCAACACCGACTGGAAGCAGCGGGTCTGAGCACAGGGGGCCAGAGGCGCAGGGGCACTCCATCGCTGGACCAGGCGGCCCACGCAACGGACTTAAAACAGGGCTAGGATCGGGATACATCGCTCCAGAGCGTTCCGGAGCGCTCTCAGAGCGTTCCGGAACGCTCTGGAGCGGCCGCGGCGCCCAATACATCCTCCAAACCCGCCGATTCTCAAAGATTTCGACTTATCCCGATCCGA